AAATTTACACTATCATATTAGGCCTAGAAGTACAAATTTTTACCTAAGGACTAACTAAGGATATAGCATGCTGGCTGCTAAAAAAGTCGCTAAAATTAGTTAACCCCTTAACTCCAAGAGGTGATTAACATATAACGTCTCCCTTAAACATCCACACATTATTAAGGACTAGATCATTAAATAATGCAATTCAAAACTTTTTATTGGCTTAGCCATTATGGTATACGAGCCAATATACCATAATCTAATAATTATCCGTTCATTGTAACATCCCGTTTCTTCTTACAAAATAAAGTTGAGAAGATTTGTCTAATATCTTGGGAGCGTTTTTATTAATAAACCAATTATTCCACTCATCCTTGTTGGATAATATGAGATGATTATAGCCAACTCGGTGCTACACGCCTCATTGGCTATCTATCATCTCATATCCAACAACTGCGAAAGGAATAATTGTTAATTATCCAGCAAACAGGTAATGAGAATACTCAAACTTATCAAGCGGAAGTTGTTATCTTGATCTAACACCAAACTCTTGTAACTAATTTGCGAGGGAATGTCTAGTAGCTAAAGGAGAGAATCAACAACAATCAGACCTTAGGAGTGAAAGGGTTACCAGTACTTACCCATAGATCCAGGGACCCCAATATATCCCTACGTGGAAAAAAGATTGACCTGATTGTTGAAAAAATACTTGGAGAACATAATTTTATTCAAAAGTTTGCTTTGTTACTATTGTTAGTATGACATGCTTGGAAACAGCTTTCTTTTCTGATGTTGGTTTGGAGAATTATTTTGGTATTGGATCAGTTTGCTTGACAGAGAAAGGAGAAATTCTTTCTTGATCACTCAGAGAATAAATAAAGGGTAAATGTTGTGCTATGCTATTCCAGATAGACAAATGAAATTCCACCAATACAACAACCCTTCAAATCTACATGTATATTCAATTTGAGTTTTTGAAAGTGCTCTGACTCACAACAATGCATAGATTGAGCAAAAATTTTAATAATACATTGAGCAAAAATTTTAATAAAGAAGTATTGGACTTCGTACCTGACCAACATCCAGATCAACAAATACCGGTCTTCTCCCCGATCTTACAGCGTAATTCAACAGAAGCTTACAAAGTGTTGACTTTCCAACATCAACAGGGCCAGTCACCATCACCTGGGTAATTATAATCAATTATTATGGTTTTATCTATTCATCCGCTGAAACCCTTTCGATCACATCACAATTTTCTATATTTTATCAAATTACAATGCATTTGTGAACTTTCCTGACTAACACATAGGGCTTGCCTATTTATTGTAGAATTTTGACTTACAAAGAGTCACATAGATGTATTGATGCAAAACCTTTTTAATATTGTAAAGAATAGGAAAGATGATAGGTTTTGAGCTCAGTAAAAAAAAAAATAGAAAGATGTTTTTCGTCTGACTAGTCACAAGCACATGACATACATACATACAAAGGTTAATTGACCACTCCCCATAGGGGCTTTTTAGGGCCAATTC